TTCAATCATTTAACATTGTACTTGAAGCCGATTCAAAAGCTTTTAATCTGTTGGATGACATATTTCAGTGTAATTTAAATTTTGATTTAGAAATACCCGGCAAATTAAATGCTAACACAATGTACTAGGGGTATTCATATACGATCTAATTCGATTGATCCGACGTAAACTGATCCAATTTAATTAAAAATCGATCTAAACTAATATAAAATTGGGTTGGTTTGAATTATAAATTATAAAATTGATATAATTGGTTTGATTTGTGATTTTACTTTCAAACTGCCTAAATTGTCCGAATACAAAATAAAATCTGATTACAAGATAACTTAATTAAATAATATAATATATTTTTTGTAGTATTTTAAAAATTTTTTTTCTTATTTTACAAGATAATAACTTCATTAACTTAATAAAAAAATAAAAATAGAATATTTTTATATTCCCTAAGTTATTTTTTTATTTTAATCATGCACTCTAACCTTAATTCTAAATTTCTAATTCACTTCAAACTCTATTATCTCAAAATTGAAATAAAAATAGAATATTTTTATATTCCCTAAGTTATTTTTTTATTTTAATCATGCACTCTAACCCTAATTCTAAATTTTTAATTCACTTGCAACTCTATCTCTTCAGAACTGGTTTACGCTTTTACTCTTAGAAGCCTAAATTTCTAATTTATTCTTAAATAATTTTATGATTCTCCTAACTAAATTTTAAATAAGTATCATTCTAAAAGTCTTAAAACTATATAATAAAATTAGTTTTGATATTTTACTATTCTTGGATATTTGGTTTAGAAATTTTAAATTTTGATTATGAATGCTTCTAATCAATTTTAGTTATATTCATATTAAATTTTATTCACTTTTAACAGGATTTAGAAGATGTGATTAAATTATTAGTGCATTAAGAAAAAAAAAACTAATTTTAATTTTTAAGAATTATTTACGTTATGCTAGAAACTTGAAGTCATCTTTTATTGTTCTTGATGCCTCAAGTGATGTAACCAAGACGAATTTTCAGATCTTTTCAATTTTTACAAATGCAAAGGAGTATAAAAACTCGTTTATAATTTTTACTTTTTATTATGTTTTTATTGATTTGCATGCTAATATGTTTTATGGTTATACTTTCTATTTGATGTTAAAATATTTTTACATTATCTTATATATTTAATAATGTTAAAAACTAATTAATCCAACTGAACCATACAAATCTGATTTAAGTTGGATTGGTTTGGTTATCATATAATAATAGATTGCATTGGTTTAAAAAATTTAATAACCAATTAAATTGAGTTGATTTAAAAAATATTAAAATTTAAATCAAATCATATCAAAAACATCTTTACAATGTACTACTTCGTAATTTTATTTTCTTTTATTAAAATTCTGCATATCTTTTTTATCAAAATGATCAAATTCTTGAATGGAGCGCTTCAAGATATTTAGTTCTTCTTGTGTAATTATTATAATTTAGCATATTAAATAAAGTTGAAATTTATTTTTATTTGTTATATAGTTTAACTATAACATAATTAATATTTTACATGTTTTTGGTTGTTATATTAAGTAATTAGTACAAAATTATTTTATTTCTTTATAAACACATAT